GACATTATATACATACATATATATATATATATATATATATATATATATATAATTTATAGGTCCTATGTATAAAGCATTACCGCAAGAGTTGATCTCTTCACGTGATATATTTCTTATTAGAATCCCTCCTTTGGGACACCCCTTTTCAGGGGACACTCCTATTAAGGGGACACTTTCGTGAATTGAGGGGCAATATATCTTTTAACACTACAGCCAACCCCTATTAAGGGGACACCCCTATCAAGGGGATGGGGACACTTTCTGAGTGTGCAAAGTGGTCAAATCAATAAAAATTCACCCCTATTAAGGTGACACTTGTTTTTATTGTATCTAAACAACTGCAATAGTCACCAAATAATTTTACACTATTTGAGCAATAAACTTAACATCAAATAATAATGTTTTTCCATTCTTAGAATGAATATTGGATGCCTGCATGTGTTACTTCTTATAAATAAAATCTTATCAATATCCTGATATAGGATGCTAATCTATCCGGACAGCCTACACTGATTTATAAGTTGGTAACATCTATTAATAGTACTGTATTCTATCTTGTGCATCCAATAGAAATCTCAATATTTACAAAAAGAATATTTGATCCACCTTTGATCATTAACATTGCACTCAAATAAAAAAAAACAATATCACGAACAAATTTTGTAGTTTTAAATCTGTTAGTTTCATATCTTAAATGAATTATTTTTTAACTTGCAAATTGTTATAAATTAGTTATAATTAAAGCTGTAACTTATTCTTAGGTCAATTAAAATAAAATTATAAAGAATCATACCAAAAAAAAAAAAATGCCAGAAATCCCTATTAAGGGGACAATTTGAAGTTCTTGGGACACCCCTATTAAGGGTGTCCCCTAATAGGGGTTCTACTGTAATAAAGTATCTCTTCGGAGATCTCGTCTTGTCGGTTAAGATGCTTAAGAAGAGGGCATATTATCATTGTTTAACGTCAAATACTACCGGTAGTGTTGTATTGGCATACCGTAGATTGCGAAATGAATTGCCTCCAATATCGGATTCGAACTTACAACGAAAGCCTCAATGGTCTAGTTGGTAAAAGCGGCTGCATAGATAGCAGAAGGTCCAGGGTTCGAATCCCGGTTGGGGAAATTGTTTTCGCGCTTTATGTTGATTAATTTTTGAAAAAATTTATGATGTGTCTCTTATAATTGTTGAGCTATATATAATTTGGTGGTGGGGGGGGGATGCCGGCTCGAAATCTTTCTTACTGACCTAATTAACATTTGAAACAAAACAAAAAAAATGTTTCTGTGAATTTACCCATTGAGATACGGCCTATGTTGACAAACTCACTTACTTCGACAGGGGTAACTTTTGTGATGTCCGCAGCTTCCTAATGGTAGGCCCAATCATTTTGAATCAAATTACTAGAGAGTAGACATGGCAGGCGGAACCGGGGGGGGGGGGAGTGGAGCCAAAAAACTTGTTGGCATTGTCTATGCAGATTTTTGTATGATCGGAAAGAAATGCAAGAAAAAGGAAATAAGGAGGGAAAGAGGGTGTTTATCCAGTACCAGACCGAGTTACATTTCTCGCAATTCACATTGGCGGATCTGGGAGTCAGGGGGTCGTGTCCCCCTCCCTTGGGAAGAAAATAGAAAGAAAAAAAATCTTAGACCTACCTTTTGAGGACCCGTGAGCTGATTTTTTGTTGTTGTTGTTACAGGAAGAAAATTATAAGTCGGGAAAAAGCTCATTTCCCGCCATCTAGGAATCAAAATTTTATCGGGCAGGCACTTTTCTTTTTGTGGTTCATCGATTCGTGGAAAAAAGGATACATATGCAACGCGTGTATAACGGTACACTTAAAAGCCATTAAAAGACATTTCAGAAGTCGGGAAAGCTCATTTCCCACCATCTAGAAATCTACATTTTCCCGGGAAACCCAGTCCTCCGGACCCCGTTCTCTTTGGGGTTCATCGATTCATGGAATCGTTTTCAAGAAGGGGGAAACCTTGAATTTTGAAGAACTTAAAAGTCATTAAAAGACACTTCAGAAGTCAAGAAAGCTCCTTTCTCGCCATCTAGGAATCAAAATTTTCCCGGCAGAGAACCCCCCAACCCCTTTCTTTTTGGGATATATGTGAAAAGACTATCTACGTATGCAACTACTCAATTTTTTTATATGTATGTATACATACATAAAGACCCATTTACTGTAATAAGAATGAGAAAAATTCACCTGACCGTTTTCAAGAGGGGAAAACCTTGAATGTTGAAGAACTTAATCATTAAAAGACTTCAGAAGCCGGGAAAGCTCATTTCCCGCCATCTAGAAATCGAAATTTTCCAGGGGGGAACCGGACCCCTTTTCTCTTTGGGGTTCATCGATTCATGGAATCGTTTTCGAGGGGGAAACCTTGAATTTTGAAGAACTTAAAAGTCATTAAAAAAGACACCTCAGAAGTCGGGAAAGCTAATTTCCCGCCACCTAGGAATCAATATTTTCCGGACCCCCTCCCCCTTCTTTTTGGGATTTATCGATTCATATAAAAGCATACGTATGCAATTACTCAAATTATTTTTATGTGTGTATGTATATATACATACATAAGGCCTATTTACTATAATAAGAACGATAAAAATTTACCTGACCGTTTTCAAGAGTGAACCTGGAATTTTTAAGAACTTAAAAGTCATTAAAAGACACTTCAGAAGTTGAGAAAGCTCATTTCCCGCCATAATCAACATTTTTCCGACGAGAACTCGAATCTTCCTTTCTCTTTTGAGTTCATTAATGGATCATGGAATCGTTTTTTAAGAGGTGGAAACCTTTAATTTTAAAGAACTGAAAAGTAATTAAAAGACACCTCAGAAATCGGGAAAGCTCATTTCCCGCCATCTAGGAATCGAAATTTTCGAGGGGGGTGGGATTGTTTTCAAGAGGGGAAAAATCTTGAATCTTGAAAACTTAAGTCATTGAAGACACTTAGCTCATCCAGAAATCATGAGCTAAGTTTTGGGACAAATTTTTACCCCCACCTCCTAAATTTGAACCCAGAATCCCGATTCATATTCCCATTCTTCTTACTAGTGGGCCTCCCCCGCCCCCACCACCTACACACACACTTTGAAAGTTCCGCCGGCCCTGGTAGAAACCAGGGCTGGCGAAGGGGCCTCCAAATACTGCCGGCAGTAGCATTCACAAGTAGCTTACACAAATTTACATCCCATAAATCCGTGCTTGACGGTTCAATAAAGGAAGACACCCAAAGGTCAAAGCTAAGCATGTTAATCAATATAATTCTCGGTCTTTTTATCTCGCCTTGAGTGTAATTTCTCGTACGTGGAAACATTTTAATAAAGGCCTACCATCGATTGGACCATAAAGAACGATGTTCTTTTGATTCAAATTGGCTTTATCATCCTGTTGCAGGGCAACAGCCTAATTCGTGGTGTCAAAATGAAATTTTATCAAAACAATCAACCATTTTGGTTATAGGTCTTCATTCGTATTTTCAAGGATGTAAAATACAAAAGGGGTGACAAGAATTTATGTTAGCCTATCATCTCATAAGCAAATGAACGAGCTCCGAAAAAAACGTTACTGTACTGTATACCTTAAATAAAAAAATTATAGGCCTATTTTTTTCTTTAAGTTGCTGGATAAAAAAAAAAATCATTTATTGGCCTTTTGAATATCCACTCATCAAACACACTGGCACGCCTGCTAGCACCATTTCATAAAAGCTTCCTTTTCAGCTTTAGATACATGTGGCAAGGTTGTCGCCGACAGCTTTCAGTGATGCTGATTTTTTGGTTGAAACAGGGCGCCTTCTCTAATGTATCAGGGACTGCTACGCGCAGTACAACCATTGCAGTGAAAACACTGTAGCGACTGTGTAGCGATTTTAAGGAACCAGGCTTCAGGGAACGTTCCGATTTGTGTCGGACAGCTATGCAGTGCAAGGATTGCAGTGAAAAAGCTGTAGCGATTCCATGGAAACCAAGCTTTACAGAGTGGAGATGAGTTAAGTCATGGATAAGCAGTCCATTTTCATGTACTGTACTAAAATTCTTTTGTTAGGTGTTTGAATCGTTTTGATGTAGTCGTCGAACTGTTCGGTAAGAGTTATGTGGTATTAATGTTGCACCAAGTGGTTTTGTTTGGTTTGATGTAAGGTATACACACTGAGACGCACCCCTGGCACAATAACCCTGTGGTCCTTTGCCAGTATCGATCAAGATCCAGAGAGAAAATCCTGCCTGTGACAGGAATTGAACCTAGGACATGACTGGGAGCCAAGCATCGTAAATACCACCAAACTATTCAACTCAATTACTTCCTTTTATATGTTTCTTGTCAATTTCATATTGCACACTGTAGCTCTTTCTGAAAACATATCAATTGCTCCATTTCTCCTTTACAAAATGAAAATATATTATTTCTTCGATTATTTCTTTAATATTCATAGTAATCCATGAATTGTTGACAAATTCAATACAGGTACAAAAGTTGACACAACTACAAACAAATTTTGTTAAGTCCATGGCATCAGCATTGTCCAAAACATTCTCTAATTAATTTTTAAAGTTAAGTTTTAAGTTTCAAGTTCCAACATGTCCTGAAACCATTTAAAATGTCACACGGTAATGTCCCTGTAACAGCCTTCATGTTTTATCTTCAATAATTTCTCTAAGAATGACATCATGTTTGCTGTTTAAAAATTATTAGGCAATCAAACCATCAAATTTTCTTTGACAAAAAAATGTTGCATGCCCATAGTCCTGATGTGCAGGGGTGTATACAGAGATATCCGAAAATAGGAATTCAAAAGTGGGGACGATCAAGACAACACTACCATAGGGGGTCCGGGGCATTCCCCGCGAATTTTTTGTTTTCTAGATGCCCGAAAATAACCTCTGATGCGTTTTGGGTGAACAATTATTTCTTTTTCTTTTCTTTGTTTTTTTTTTAACTCTCCAGAAAATGGGGGCAGGGGGGAGCGACCGGGCCGTCCCGGTCCTGTTGTGCCCGGTCATGATGACCATATTTAGTCATGTCAAACAAAATTTGATAGTCTGGGCATTTCCAAATGCACTGTCTATTTTACAGGATAAGTGTTAAACCTGCAAAACATGTTTTTTGGTATTTCTCTCTTTTCAAAATATATTTATGTGAGAAAATTTACATCACAGAAAATGAACATTGTAACAAAACGTTTTGAAGGTAGTAAAAATATTTGACAATAAAATTTTTCTCCAAAAAGTGAAGTACAGTTTATATTTCTTGAAACAAGGTGTTCAATTTTATTTAAGGAGAGGGTCTGTTTTATCGTTTTCAATAAAAATACTTTCCAAAACAAAGTACAGTACTCTACATAAACTACAATATATTTTACAATACTAAATACCTGGCCTTCAATCATTGTTCAATGTATGATTTGCCAAACACAAATGATCCACCCCATTTTATATTTTGGTCAAGTTCAAAAGAACTGAACACAAAATAAGGGAAAATGCAAGAAACTCAGAAAATGGAATACAGTAATGTAATTCCTTTGAAAGTTAAAACATCTTTTATACTTTTTTTTATTCATTCAACAAAATCAATTCTCATATCTGTTTATCAATTATTCAAACATGTTCATGTACATCAAGGTAAATCTATTAGAATTTATCAATTCAGTATAATTACAAATAAATCAGAAACGTTTTTTTCAACAATAATTTTTCCACTGAATTTTTGTTTAATTTAATATAAAAATGCATTAGTAGGAATGATTGAAAGATAACATAAGATAACATAATCAATGTTTTCTATAAAATTATTGCAAACATAAAACTTCATCAACATTCCTAATAAAATTATCGCAGAAGCATTAAATATATTTACAAATGATATAAAGTTCCAAAACAGGAAAACTTTTTGCACCAAAATAACCTGGAAAGTATTTTTTTAGGAATATTCTTCAGGAAAAAATGTAATAATATCATAGTTTGAAGTTCTTATTTCAAACCATCGACAAAATGCTTCCTGAATAATTTATACATAATTCGTATTCAAATAAAATAAAAAGTTTTCTTTTGCACCATTCCCAAAAGCTCATCTAGCCTGCATAGTTATTAGCATCTCATTCAATAACCGATCCGTCATGTTCATCACTATCATCAATTATGATTGATTCCTGCAAGAAAAGATATAAATGTAACATATCAACTATATTGCCAAAGGTTTATACAAATACAAAAGTCATAAGACAAGGAATTCTACACAATATAGGGGCGGATCCAGAGATTATTTATTCTTTTTTTTTACTGGATTGCATTGTCAGTAACATAGTACTGCTTTCCAAAATGGTCCCGTGACAAAGTACAGTAAAGTAAAAAGTAATAGAAGTTAAAGTAAAGTAAACAAAGGAATTATAAAAGTTAAAAAAGTACAAAGGTAAAAATCCTAACTAAATTACATTTGAATCAATAGAGATGGAATTTTTGAATTCATTAATAATTTTTGCAGTTGCAGGTTTCCTAATTTGAGCAGGAAAATTATTCCATTCGTTTGAGGCTCTGTTTGAAGTGGGGGCGAAAAGTGAGGCCGATCAAGACAACACTACTGTATGGGGTCTGGGCGATTTCCCTCATGAAAGTTTAGTTTTCTAGACACCCAAAATAAACTCTGTGGCATATTGGGGTGATAAATTATTTCTTTTTCCTTCCTTCTTTTTTTTTTCTTTTTTTTAATAAAATTGCCCCTGCAATATAAATTTAAAAATGTTTCCAGTACCTAACCTGCTGAATTCTAATTCTAATGCTTCTTACCCATCCTCCTTGGCTTCCTACCCACTCAGCAAAGTGATCTGATATGTACTCAATACTGTTGTTCTTTATCTGTGTAGCATGTCGACCAATTTTCCTGGCTGTATGCATAGCGACTTTCGTAAATCTTAGGACCAGTGCCACCTGGTTCCAGCCCTGGCCATTACCGACAAGGTTGCCCACTGTGGTAGAGAATGCCTGGTAGGTGGTGTCTAAGACAACATGTATGACATTGTCTTCAGAGAAGGTGTTTGCCATCTAAAAGTTGATAAGAAATTGATATTGATTGAGTGGTTACTACGATTTATTATTGTTAAAAATGAGATTGTTTAGTCTAATTCCGCCTACTTTACAGCATGAATATGAGCAAAGATCAAAGCGCCCAGCGCACTCAATGGGCAGTTATGGGATACGTTTGAAGCACAATTTACTCCCCTGCAAAGGTTGTTCTTTGGCATGTATTATCTTTTAAATTTGTTTACTTTGTTTAAAAAATGTCCACACTTTAAAAACAATTTATTGTCAGGCTTCAAATCTATTTTTATTATTACAAACAAAATTTGAGTCTTGATCTCACAACACAGATTGCATACAGTCTATTACAATGGCTGTGCAATTGTTTTTATCATTAAGCCAGTAAAATGTATAGTTCTGAAAATACCATCCATAAGAATAATCACTACAGAAAGATTTTCCAAATTTTCGGAAACATGTATAGAAGTTTCCAGAATTGAATATTTATTTGAATTTTTAGTAATTGAATAACACTCTTTATAATTATTAATAAATGATAATTATCGAAAGTTATTTAATTGGTAGAAATTCCAGTATAGTATACAGTATTTACCTTGAATTGTTAGTAATTGTATAACTCTCGATTAATTTTTCGATAAGTATCGAGAGTTATTCAATAGGTAAAAATCCAATACTATATACCATACTGGAAACTGTTATCAATTGAATGTACCACTTAAATAACTCCCAATAATTATTCATGAATTATAAATATATAAACACATTTTAGGGTTATTGAAGCTTTTCATAGTAAATTTTGAATCATTTTCAAAACTTTTCATGCAGAGGTCAACCAGGCATATGATTTAACTTATTTTTTTGAGACAGAAAAATCTTGTTAATGAAATTGAAATTATTCAAATGTTTGACAAAGGAAATAATATACATAGTCCTTCAATATTCATTTTATTTATGTTATCCTATATAATAATTATAAAGAGTCAACATTTTTTCATACTGGCATTTAAGCAGGGCCTACAATATCAAAAATCATGTTGAAATTGGAGATATAAAGAGACCTACAGTATAATCACAATAGCATGATCATAGACTTTTTGTCAAGGGAAGTCCTTTCAAGCACTGTTTTTTTGTTTTTTTTTGTTTAAAGAAGAATGTATTCTTATTTCTTAACCACTTGTAAATATAAGTTTTAATAAACATAGTTCTTGACATGTCAAAGTAATCTCTGAGGTTCTCTGATAATTCCCTGCTATAATTATTCATGCATTTTTATAATATAATACATAATATATAATCGTATAATACACACAATGTAAGCTCTTTCATAATACATATTGTAGCACCACTATTTCGGACACATCTATTAAGGGGACAATGCTTTTTAAAGATGCATTTTTTTCAGGAAAAACTGTATCTTTTAACATTATTCAGGACACCCTATGAAGGAGATTCATTTTTGGCCACAAATGTCCCCTTAATAGGGGCTCTAAAGTAATTCTTACTTTCTTGTTGATATACTTTACTTATAGATATTGAATACTTACATGCATGTTAGAGATATCTTGTAAGACAGTAGCTTCAGCTGTTGTAACATTTTCACAAGTTGGAAAAGAAAAGATCAAGATTATTATTGTGTATAACTTTGTAATACTTTCATCATCCATATTATAGTTAGAAATACAGTTACTAACAACATAAATATTATACATTAAAAACAACATACAAGGGGAGAAAACAATATAGTAATTAACTTAATACCATAATTCATTTGGCTACAATCTGAAATGCAAGAATGGGCTGAATTTAGGTGGGTTTATATCTAAGGAATCTTCAAAAAAAAATAAAAATTACTTTTTCAACCTTTTTCTATACTATATTTTTTTTAAACAATTAGACTTTTATACTTAAGTAAGTAGGTCCTGTGTCTTTAGCTGTCCTAATCATTACTTTTTCAATTTTTAATTTTTATGGCAAATTTTTTAAAGCATTTGTAAAAGTCAATTGGGCTAGTAATTCTAATCATATCTTGGGCTTTGCATGGGAAAGGCTGGTACATGAAATTGCACATAAAGTGGGAGTGGGTGGGCTAATACCCAAAGAATTATGGTTAAGTCAAAAACTTGAAAAGTAATTACACCACTAACAACATCAACATTACATCAGTAGCAATCTCATTACACCATTACATTAGTTGCAACATCACCAACATTAAATTATGATCACATCAACCAAAACATCAACATGATTACATCATCACCATCATAAATAGAAATATCATGATCACATAAACGCTATTAACAACAATATCATTTCGATCACATCAGCAACATCAGTTGCAATATCAGGTTCATATCAACATTCTCATCAATAACATCATCATGACCGCATCAACATCCTCATAAACAACAATATAATATATAATATAATCAATATAATCAATCACACCAATACCACTATGTGACAAGTTCTGGCAAACCCACCATTTGTCGGGAAAAAAGTTTTGGTATTGTGGGACTGTCCATGAATTCTTTTTTAAAACAGTGTTTATTTGATGAAAATTAGAGCATCAGCAAAGTTATGATACCCAATTCATTGGATATCAGCCAAGTAGGTTTTCATAAAACCACTTCTAAATATGCCAAAATCAATAGTTTATTATTAGGATTTGTATTTTAAAAATAATTTTAATAAACTTTTCCATTACATTTAGTGATTGGTATTTTTTTGCAGAAATGTTTTCCAATATATTTTCTTTTATAAACTGCAAAAACATGGAATTGTTCAAAATTCTGATTCTCAAAACGTTTTGGGTACTAGTGCAAAAATAAGAAACTACAACAAATGGAGGGTTTTGCCAGAGCCATCCTGTATGACCCCATCAACAATATCATCAATAGCAATATTATGTTGATCACATCAACATCCTTATCAGTAACAGTGTGATCATGATCAGAACAATACCATCATTAGCAATATCATCAAGATCCCTTCATTAATCATATAGGTAATGGTTGTGTACTTGTATAGTGCATATAAAGAACAGTCTCCATGCAATTTATAAGCCTTCTTTGACAGAACACACATCTAAACCAAAAAATATCCAAAAACAGGAGGCAAAGAGAAGACAGGAGAAGGACAATGTGATCATCTTAATTAAGATACATAAATCAAATTACCTGTGCAAGTCGTTGGTTGTGATGACGAAGCAGCACCCTGACCCCCAACAGCACCCTCTACTATTCCATCCCCCATGGCTGCTAGTCTCTCGGCAACTTCACGATACATATCCTCATGTTCATCAACTGAAGTTGTGCTGGATGCCATGTCAATAGAGACAGAGTCAATGGATGCATCCTTGTCTGAGAAGTGTGTAAATAGCAACAATATGTTTCATACATCTAATTCATAGCATAAATTAAGAAGTGATTTGGTTTTGTTTTGATGACTTAATATCTATTAAAAAATATCAAGAAAAACATGCCTTTCAACACATTATACTCTAAAGCGAGCATAACAAATAAGCTGGAGAGGTCTCTCAACTGAGCATTGTTTCAACTAGTGCAGTGGTTCAGTCAAAAGTTTTTCTTGTGTGTTTTTAATTTTTAAGGCTGGCGCAAACTACTTCGATTTTAAATAGTTTTCAATGATTATCTGCACATACTACTACCAACGTTCAACTGTCTTACACTGCGCCAGACAAGCACCACAGAGTGGATGAAACCATCAGCCAACGGTAGACCGGCCACTGGCCAATGCCGTGTGCATCGTTGAGTAGTGTATGTTGATGAACATTGTAAGCAATCTTTATATAAGGCTTTGTGTATGTCATAATATTTACTTTTTTAATTAAATATAAATTATTGGTAAACAAAATATCTGACTAACCATTAGTTTCATCTCCACTAAGGCCATCAACCTCAAGATCATCATCAAAGTTAGCCAAAGGGGCTTGACGTGGTGCTGGTTGCCCACCACCACGAAGTTCAATTCCAGGCCGCAATGGACTGTTAATATGTAGCACTTCTTTGAGGGGAAAAATATATATAATTATTAATATTTCAATTAATATTCTATTTAATCACTAGGATTTCCACAATTAAAAAGTGACATTTTAACATCTAATACTAGAGTAACACATCACAGAAAAAACACAAGAAAAAAACTTACCATTAAAACCTCGAGTTGGATCAGAAAATGAAGAGATGTTCAGGGAAGTTGGGCGTGATACAGATCTCGGCGGTGGATGTTGCATGACGGTTGACGCCAGAATATGATTTGGTTGAGAAATTGAACGTACTACATCTTGGTGTCTTGTATCTTGGTACTGAAACTCGGTTGCACTGGAAAAAGTTGTCTTATCATTCTGCTCATTCAGCGGGGACTGTTGCCAGGGAGAGCATCTATCATTATTGGATGGCGAGTCCTTCCTAGGTTTTTTACGTAAGAAACTAGGAAACTTTTTTATCTTTCTGCGTTCATCACGAGATGGAGTAGTTGGTGAAGTTGAAGACGAGCGATCACTTTCCAAAGAGCTGGTATAATTTATACCATTTGCGATGGGTGATGAAACAGATTCACTTGATCCTTGTTTGTGTTTCTTGGACTCTATGCCTAACATTTTTCTGAGACGTTTTCCAAATCCTGTTTTCTTCATCTCGGAATGTACCTTTGAACGATTTTCCTTTTCTTTACTGTCCAAGTCCTTCCGTTCTTTGCGTGGTGCAGTGGGAGAGCCTATCAAACTTCTTGCACGATTAATTAATGTTTTTCGTCGTTTCAATTTCTTTTTTCCCGTATTTACATGGATTTGCAAATCATCTGAAGGATCTAGTAACCCTTCTTCTTTCATTTTTTTAATTTTTTCAAAATCTTGCTCACAGGGTTTTGCCTTAAACCTTAGAGTGGACGGTGCAGAGTTTGATTTTTCACGATTCAAGTCAATAGGTTTGTGTATATTGTCTAAATTTTCAATGTCATAGTCCTTTTTACTAAGCTCTTTGCAGAAACTGTCACTAGCACGTGTTGAAAAGATATGATCGTTTGAGTCGCTGCTGATATTTGACGTAATGGAGATTGTATGGTTCCGCTTTTCCTTTTTTTTATTCCGTCTTTTAACTCTTCGACAATCCTCAGATAAATCAGCACTTGATAAGCTAACACTTCGTCGTTTTAAATAAAGTTCAACAATTCTTGCTGTTTCCCGCTTTACAAGTGGTACACTCTTGCCTTTCTTTAGTTCATTTGGAACATCGATTCGTGTAGGTCGCGTTGTATGTGGTGCTGGGGGAGTCATTGCCCTCGCTCTGTTCTTGGTGAGTGCTTGGCTATATTCCTCCCCTTCAAGTTCCATGTCTGTGCTGTTTTGTGGAGTGATAGACGGTGATGAATTTTGGAACGTTGTTAAGAAATCACCTCCAGCAATATATGGATACTGCTCGCCAACTGGTGTTGCAATATCTCCGTCATTGACTACAGCATAAGCTGCCATTGTTTCACCTTGATCGCAACTGTTTAATGTAGTTTCTGAAAGATAAAAATTAGTAGTATTTATGAGATTAATTAAACATCATATTCTAGATTTTGTAACTATATTACAATCATAATAATGAGATAATCATCTGCATAGATAAGGCAAGACTTTTTTTATAACTTGTTTAGCGAACTTGCCGCCCATCATTAATGATTTTGAACAAAACAAAATTTTATTTTTGGCCAAATAGCGCACAAACTACCATGAAATAAAAAAATAAATAAATCATTAACAACACTTTCATATGCCACTTCATGTAAGTTCCATTCATTATCAATAGGTCTTTATAAATGACTTCAGATTTTCAGTGTAGCATGAATTCCAATTTTGAAATAATATATGATATGACATTGGTAATGTGACGCATGTTAATATTTCATTAAAAGGAAGTAAACTGCAAACTGCCAATTACAATAATGATACCGTAGTTTGTTATACTTCCCTGTCCTAATATCAAACCAGAGTGTAATTTCGATATTGCGAAATAGATGACTGAAACAGTAAACATATTCAAGTAGGCCTAGTATTACTGTATGCCTTTAGATAAAAATTATTTTAGCTATTCAGACTCCTGATATTAGTCATCAATAATCAGATGACAAAAATACCTCATTAACATACAATGCTGTTTTCAGCCACCTGGTTAGCACGCAATCCCAATGTCACTATGGCAACCAGTAGATCAATAACTGAACTACTGTAGAAGATGTGTTTGTTCACATACTTCTCTCTGAAGCCCTAAAATTTGGTAATGCATGTCATATATATCTTTCTGGTGTTTACATACCGTGTATCAATGGTCATTGTCCTATTGCACTACGTCATAGACATGGCTTAATTGATAGTCACCGACAAAAGAGTGTTTATAGGAATACCTTTCACATGAAAGGTAACGATGATGTCATTGACACATAGGTCAACAGAGGTACAGTAATAAGGAAGAGATCAAACTATTATATAATACAATTTTAAATTTGGAATTTGGAATAATTTATTTTCTAAAAAAATAAACACAACATATTTGTCTCTATTTTTGACCATGGAGGTAAACAATATTTATACTAATTTATACTTTCATACCTTGTTGTATTTTTTTCTCTTTTTGGTATCTATTTCAATACAATACCGTTGTAATTATGATAAACTAGTATGTAGAACAAAGCCTGCCCATCAAAAACAACAGTCCTGCATCATACAACCTTGAACTTGCAGAAGCTCTAAATTCACCAGACATCATTTAGAGAGAATGTCTAGACATAGCATTATTTTCAAGTAACCACTATGCTATTTACACCACTGATTACTTCAGATAATACTTAATAGCAGCTTGGATATTTACTTTACACCACCCTCAGTACATTCTACTGTGTTTAGACAAAGCAGTAGAGTCTACAATGAAAAATACCAGTAACTCAGTACAGAATACTCTTTACCAAAAAAAATGTAATCATTTCATTTGCAAATGTACTTTGTATGTACCAGTAGGTATTACAAAATGATTACACAGCACAATAATACTGTTGGATACCTAAAAGTAATTTATTGATGGTAGTATTATTGTCCAGAATGTAAAGTCTGAGCAAGGAGGTATAAAAAATAAGCACCAATTCTCTGGTACGGCTGTACCATCAGATGGGAGACGTGCACCTCGCAGTTTTTACTTAAGATATTTTTTTTTTTGGATTTTCTTCTGAAGGTTCATCAGGAGAGTTCACTCTTCTAAGTTATGTTACTTCTTACTTCTACGCTTTTTTGTTTGTTGCAATGGTTTACTCCATCCAATGAAAGACTTTTATATCTTTAAAGTGGAATTGATTGTGGCCTTTCTCACTGTGTGACATGATACAAGTTATAAGCAGGTATGGGTACCTGTACATAGGCATCCTCCATCCTTCCGATTCTTAACTACTAGATAGGATGTTGTTTGTGACCTTGGCTTGCCATGAATTCCCAACATGCAGTAAAGTACAGTTCACTGCCTTGATGACTAAGGGCCCGTTCGGACGAGTAAATTTTTACCGGTACTTCCAACTGAGAGCCCATGTGTGGCAATTAAATTTTGCCTCTAGTCATAAAAAATTTGAAAAACATGTCCCAAAAACCCATCTTTTTTAGAGGGTATTTCAATTACACTCTGCCTCCAGGCGTAATTTATCACATGTAAGGCCCATGTCAAAAGTTGACCTTTAGATTTGTATACAACACTGGGCCAGAGTGAAATTCCTATCGTTCAATCCTGTTCCCATTTTCTCATAATACTTTAAATCCTTATGAAAATATTAACTTAAATAATATTTAAAAGCATTTAAAAAGTTTGACAGTAAGAACTTTAGCAAAACACAAGAAAATGGTGTTTAAACTTACAACAAAAAAAAGTTCTTTACGGTAAGCCAGCGAGCGAGCGACATTTTTACATACATCACTGTATTCATTCAAATGTTGCATTTCTAATTCATAGTTTATTATTTGTTAAGTGAGTATTACTGCTTTAAAAACAAACTTAAAATTTATAATTAGATGTAATTTGTATTTTAATAACAGAAAAATAACTTTATACCTACTTTTAAATTAGTTTTGTTACAACAACATTAAGAGTTGTTTTACAGTCAACAACAACTAGGCGTCGTCTAGCGGAGGACATGTGCCGAATGTAAAAGTTTTGTTATCACGGTGAAGAAATCACTTGAAGCTCCAAATGAAGTTACAAAGGACAGATGTATAGTTTTAAATATTAACAACAAAAATATTGCTGAAAAACTTGTGTCTGACCTTGGTTGAAGGAAAGACATACAAGAAGTTACTGGTTTTACCGGTTCTTATTCTACTCGTCCGAACGGCCGTCAGAATTAGCCCCAAGGCTATTATTAGATTACACATGTATTAGAGTTTACATCCGAACACGGACTAAATGCTCTTGCTTGGCTGCAATTTACCAGTTTTTTTTTTTTATCCAAATCTCCGCTTCACTCATTAAATACTAGGAGATGGTGTTGAAGAACAAAATACAGTACAGTAGTCTACATTTACACCTTACCTAGAAACTGTCACTGCAGTAAATTCTGACGACGTTCCATATATGTTCCTATTGTTATCTGGTGAATTCTGACAGTACGGAGACATTTAAAATGAAAACAATGTTATTAATTTGATTTCTTTTGTATGCCACTACAAGTCAAAGGTAGGTCAGATGTTAAAATAATAGTAGGTGACTGGATCACCAAGTAAACACATGCAAAGGTAGGTCTAGTCATTTTGAGACCTATATTCCAAAGTTTGCAATCCTGGTGAGAGGACCTATCACATATTCCTCAATAATAATTTTTATAAATATTAAATGAGATTTATTCTTATAAATTTATCTAGGCCCTAAAATGATAAATTTTGAAGGGCTGGTAATCTTAGTCAAAATATTAGAAAAACAATGAGGCATTTGTAACCATGCATTATAGGGAAAAAAAATACCCAAAATGTATACAAACAATTCAACATATTTTTAAAATGACTAATAAATTTAAATATAGCACCAATATTTCCAGTAAAAAAAATATAAATACTGATACAGTAATGTAAATATAGTTGGAAAAGGAGAAACTGAGAAGTGAGAGTACAAACAATTACAGAAGCTTTTTACCTTGACAAGAATTTAAATGACACCAATTTGTTTTGTTAAATAGCTAATTGACTTCCTCAAAAACATGAGAAATACCAGTTGCATATAAATAGAACCACCCACATGTTCAGTCATCACTAAACTTAACAACGCAGTAATTCTAAACTCTTTGAACTACTACACTTACTATAACTTAACCTCAACATGAACCCTGGTTAATAACAACCTCAAATGCAAATGATGGTAAAAAGATTAATATTGTTGTCAATACAGTAACAGTGATAATATGAAATATTAATGATGAACATTCTGGATTTTAATTATGATGTACAATAGAATGCCATCCAATTATTATAATTTCCCACAACAAAGAATATTTATTTTATCTTTTAAGATAAAATTATTTTTAATTTGTAATTGTTTTGATATTCTACTTTAAAAATGGAACACAAAAATGAAAATAAAAATAAACTAAAATCATTTGATAATACATGAATTCCAATTACAATACTACTATACATGCTATTACTGTACTGTATTAAGATTATTATAATAATAAGACCAGAATCATCGTAACATCAATTCAAACCATAATCAATAACAATATCACAAGAAAACCTTAAATCAGAAACAACACTGATGAGAAAAACAAATCAAAATAGCAGTCATGTAATGAATAAATGACTTAATAATCAATAATTATAATAATAAAAAAAACTTACATCAAAACCAATACTGATTATGAAAAACACGATAAAATCTCATAATACAGTCAGTTCAATTTTTGAATATCCCGAAATAATGTTCATCAAAAAACGTTGTAAAATGCTGTACACGTCTGTACAGCACAACCAGCCAACACATAGTAAACAAAACATAGGCAGTGACTCCTGTTTAAATAGACTCGCCGACGCATTGTTGTTAGAACACATCTGATTAGTCATCAGAAGGGTTCTATTGTTGGAGGTCAGTGCATGAGTGAGGCAATCCTGTAGCCATGCTAAGGCAGTCTGGCATTCAGGATGTTTTGCTGCATCCTACCAGAGAGCCCTTTCAACCATAAAAAACTTGGAGTTACAATCAATCAATTCCAGGAAACAATACCTTTTGTTTTTGACACTCTTTGTTCCTTTTACAAATAACAAGCTAAAGCCATTTTTTTGAATTTTAACTTATCAGTTTAATATATTATATATTTAACAATCACTTACAGTATATTATTAATTAATCTCTTACATTAGGCCACTAGTCACATTTATTATTAGCATATTTCAATGTGTTAAAAAAACCCCTGTAATTTGATAATCTATTGCTTTTCAAATATTAGGTTTACAAATGAAAGTTACTTTGGTATGCAGATACACCTCCACTGGTGTTAATTAAAGATGATAATAAATATTTGATAAAAAAAAAAATTGTTTCCCCATCGGGATTCGAACCCAAGACCTTCCAATTACCCTTTGATTTTCCCACATAGGACATGTTTACAAAGGCTCTGAACAAACAAGGTTCTAGAATCACAGTGGTAAAAATTATTTGGTAGATGGTTAAGTGTGTATGTTGAAAGCTCTATAAATATACATACTGTAAGAACTGATAAGAATAAAACTAAAATATTAGTAATTAACTAAAAATTTATAAATCACATGTATAATGTACAATCCTTTACGGAAATTATATTTTGACACTACTTATTTATGTTCCAACAGCAAATCCGTCTGACGTAAGGTTACGAAAGATTTAACATTTGACGTGCACTATATTACAGACCACAGTCACAAGGCTTATCATACCCAGGGCATACAGTAGTCTTTCTTTTACTTCAAAGCTTAGAAGTAACTATGCAAATTTCTGGAAGAATAATTGCCACTTTTGTTGTCACTCAACAGTTAATTTGCACACAAATTCTTGAAATTGTAAACAGTTATGAAAACATTGTGTCTACAAGGCTTACACATCCCAAAAAATGTTATTTTTATTACTCATTTTTGTAGGTAATTATCTTTTGAAAAAATTTGGTCAAAATAAAGTTTGCACGTACTTGCGAGCTCTGAAGTATGTGCGTCTACATGGCGCTACTCTGAGTGCGTATTCCTTAATATATTCCATGTGTACGCGGAAGTAGCATACTGTATTTACTCCTCTGACTGTTCTAAGATAAATCGTCTTTAGTAATATTGAAGTAACATAATACAAAGAGCATCTTCACAGGCACTACCTAGGGCTTAAGACAAGTCTGAACATGCCTACTGTATAACTAACAAAGTGTTTACCATTAAATGAACTGGCTTTGTATTAAACAAACGATGATAATTACCTTACACTGAGTTTGAAGCAGATGTTCATAGTAGCCATGAAATTCATTCAATTAACATAATACTATATTTAGCATCTTTTAGTATAATATCTGTTGCTAATATAGAAATGATGATGCAAAGCATTTTGCACATATTCATTGGACTTTGTCATACCATTGCTATGGTCACCAATAACAGTTGTCAGGGTAACAAGTATACAGTCACTTTGATGCACTGCAACCGTGAAGATGACTAAATAATGTAATAAAAGCTAGCAAAAGATCACAGGTTCATGTAAATATAGGTACTGATACATACATAATAAATGCATTCATTGCAAAAGTGAAAATGACGACTTAAGGATGTTTAATTAATATATGATTCAGGTACTGTATTGTTCAGGTCAGCAAACATAATATTAATGTAAATAAATAATGAGACTACATATTATTACACACGCACACAATCAAGGATGTAAAATATCAACAGTTCTATAAGACGGATCAAAGAGGTATAAAGAATTCATTGGATGGATCAATATTATAAATGATCAAGTAAGTGATGTACCACATTTTCACAAGCCTGTTTAGAAGTGCACTTACATAACAAATTAATCAGAATTTTTATTTTTTTAAATTTTTCTCACATCCAACAGTAACTTGCGAATTATAGGACGGAAAGGTAATGGTAATGTTAATGGTAATGGTAGGATATTTGTGGAGTGCCTTCCACAATAAAATCGTCACAAGGTGCTGACAGTATACAGACCCAAAGTCGGATTGGAAAATAAAAATTAGGAAAAAACAAACCGCGAACACAAAAGGGAAGGGAAATACGCACCACCGTGTACGCGCAGGTACCCCAGTGACAATAGTTACCCCGGCAGCGGTTGTTGTTGTTTAATGGAACAATGATATAAACTAAGTTTACTGTATGAGGCTTTGGGAGTAAAGTTGTTTTTTTTTTAGTCATGGGAAAAAGTCCTGCTGTCACATGACCCTGGGATGAGAAGGCAAGCATCCTAACCACTACTCTACTACTGTATATAGAATTCCAATGTTACCAGGCCCATTCAACTTGTTACAATGTTAGAGCAATTTGTAATTTAACAGTGCCCTGATGATAGAAAATATTGTATAAAGGGCATTGGCTATTTGTACTCTTGTAGTAGTGCCAGCACAAATTATTTAAAAGCTGCAGTTATTAGAAAAGAAAGTTTTGTACATGTTGAAGAGACACTTATTTGGTTTTTTTTTATGATATGAGGCTCTACATTTATACCAAACCACTAACAGTAAATTCAACAAGAACTCAAAGTTTACAAATTTTATGATCTTTTACAGTAGTGATAATAATAAATTACTGTCCACAAAATCAATGATACCATAGTCAATTATTCTCTATTGTCTGCAGATACCAATTCTACATTTAAAAGATAAACTTGCACTTTTCTATATTATTTTGAAAAATCAAGGATTTTTACCATTTGAAATAAATGGGCCCATTTCAACTTGTATTCACTCAGATGTTTAATATGCAATTACATCATACCAGGAACCAAGTACTGTACTGTACCTTCCGTCTTAATGTTGACAATGACATATAAACTAACACATAGGATTACTGAAATACCATTTGATGACAACGAACAGACTATTGACACTTTTAGGTGAACTATAATACATTGAACTATGAAAGCCCACAGTTGGATCCTGGATGCATCATCACAACCTCATGCCATTCAATTCAATTTTATTTCATTACAAATGAAAATACATCATTTGGATACTACTGTATAAAAGGACAATAAAAATTGGACAAAAAGTGACTATAAAAAAAAAATATTAAAAAAAATTAAATAGCCTTGGTAGAAATTGCTGGTCACCAGCAAAACTGTCTTTATATATTATTATGTATTTAAAAACATGAAAAAATATATTATAAATATTTATAAAGTACAGATAGTATTAAGGAACCCTTTTATTGAATAACTTATGAAAAAAACCAGATCAAATTATATTTCTGAAAAATATTTTTAAATAAAACATTTGGTCATAACAATCACAATGAAATACAGTACATTGTCAAGAAGACTTTGTAAATAAATAAATTAGAATTTTACAGCTCTCCATTTAATTCAGACATAAATCTCAAAATTATATAATTCTTTGTGATAGTTCCCATAGATCAACAACTCTCACTTGCCTGATCTGATACTTTCTCCTAGGGAATGCTTAAATTTGGATTTATGTTGCCAAGAATTATTAATTCTGTAAATTAATTGGACACATGTAAAATGAAATGCTTGATAAAATGGCAAATGAATTCACTAATAATTTTGTACATCAAACAGAAAAATAATAAAGCTACGGTTAAAATCCCATTATAATAACTAATTAGTTTACAGTAATCTCACTGGGAAAATATCTCAAAATGTATCTTTTGAATTATTTCTAATAGTACAATTAAATCAAATCTATTTTGACATTCAGTATCAAGTAACAAAAGTCTAATCAACTTTCAAGTAACCAATGGACAGTATTAATAGACTTACAGTATTATTTCCAAGAATCACTATTAATTATAATTGCTTGAGTTATAGCCAAATTGTGGAGCAAGAGACCTTGAAGAGATGTGAACGTGCTAGCAACACCAATCAAAACATTGATGTTGTCCCTATGGAAACAGCAGAAAAAAGGACAATGAACTTTCACAAGAGAGTGAGACGATTATTTGCGCAAGATACTGTAAGATATTAGGACTGAAATTATACATACTGGTCGAAAACAGTTACCGTATCACAAACTAATTAAACAAAATTTCAAGCCTCATAATTTCAACTATATTTTACAATTGCTCCATTAATTAAAGATATATTGTCTAATGCAAAATACCAAAAGTCATAAAAATCATTTTTGAACATTGCCCATTTTGAACATAAAAATGAATAACACAGAATTGAACAAAAAAAAAATGTTAACCCATAATTTTACAGCAAAAAACGATAGAAACACTATAATAATTATAATTATCTAGCTCAAAAATCAGGGGACATATTTAAACTTCAATAATTTCTAAGTGAATAATTTGTATGTTACTGCAAAATGAGTAAGTTAAATTCAAAATTATTTTTTAAAGAATTTTTGTCATTTTCAAAGGATGAAATATGTTATCAACCACCAGCGAGATACCAATCAACACAAGTCAGTTTTGCTAATTTAGAACTTTTACTACAAAAACTCTTACTTGATTACTGTGCAAAGAATATAGCAAGCACATTATTATGTGGGAGAAATATTTTCTCATTTTAATTTTCAATACAAAGAAATTTTGATATTTTAAAATTTGCTTAGCTCAAACAAGACACTGTGGACTTGATATCAACTTGATTAATAATTTTAATGAAAATAAATCTTAATACTAGCAAATAACGTCATCGCCTTAGAAACACAATTTACGATCAGTGGCAGATAGGGTACCAGAGATCGACACAAGAGTTTTTATGGCCCAAATGTGTGATTTTAGACCACTTTGGAGATTGGCAATTAAAATAACATTATTTGATAGGCAAATTAATATTT